GACGTTTAAGGGCCCGGAGATCACGAGCATCCAGTAGAGTTTTACGGCCTTGACCCTTACGCACAGCGATTGTTCCAGATTCTCTGAATCTTTTGATGATGTTATGCACGGTTGATGATGATAACTTAAAAGTCTTTGCTATTTTATGCTGGGTAACACCATTCTGGTATTGCTGCACTATCTTTCTGCGCAACAATGGAGGAATTGGTGATACTCTTATCATCTTGGCTTCTGAGAGACACTGACACTCTGAGAAGCTCTTTTTATACTCAATCATGTTGTCAATTGACCTAATTAGTGTTAACTGGTCTTCCAGCTGTTCATTATATGCTCAATTTCCTTTTTCCAGCCACTTATTGCTACTTGTCCCAACTTTTTTGGGATTTGTTGATACTGTGAAATTTTGAATCAACATATTTTTCCTTTAAAATTTTACATTTACTCAGATTAAACTTTTGATCTGTCATCTATGTTATATTATGAATAAAATATTGACATTTGCCATCTCCACATCATTGCATTCAGTTTTTATTCACAATTTGTTTAGTGTCCCGACTTTTTTGGAATCCGGTTTGTACATCAAGATGTACTTACATTAACTTACTTGGAATAGAAAACATGAAGCTCAGGTTAAAAGATGATACACCCTTTTACTCTCACCACCTTGCAGAAACACGACAAGCTCACCTCTTTCTAGATGAGTATAAATGAGAGAGGTTAAGTAGCATCAAAGCCAAGCAACTAGTCAAAGTGAAACTCTTACCTTCTGAGAATTTAGAGAGAAGATGTGCGTTTCCCACTTTCAGGTGAGAAAAACAGGATGCTGCAGCCACATCATTTATGCTCATACAGAATGTTTTCATAAAGTTACAGTTGAAAACTAAAAAAACAATGGATCAAAATTTGTTAAACTACCTGCAGGTTGATTTTTTTTTTCATCTAATTTTGATTCAGTGAACTCAAGCTGTAGTTTTCTAAGTGTTTCACCATTTGTCATTTATACATAGGTGCAATATTATTTTTTTATTCCACTACACATTTTTTGTCTTCATTTGAACTTTTAGAGCAAAAATAGTTTTGCCTTTCAAGTTTCAGCTAGTATAGTAGTACATTTTTATTGATAAATTTATATTATGTGCAGTTTGTATTAATATTGTTGGACAAAATACATTTCTTAGCTTAATGTTTATTGTCATAATTTGATCTTGTCTATTAAGATTTGTATCAAAACCAAAAATAGTAAGACATATTTAAATTATCTTATTACAAATTAATTTCCTGTCAGATATTTACTGCTCACAAATATAATTCTTTTAGTTAAAAACAGCAAATGATGTGAAGGGAAACGTGAATGTAACAGTCTGTGTGAATAAAAGTTGTGAAAGTGGTTGAGAGTGAAGCTTCGTGTGGTGGTTTTCCCTTTCGCACTTTGAAAGTGAAATGATCGACATTCCACTGATCAGTTTATTAGAATTGTGTTTCTGTGGGTTTGAAGAGAATGTGGACTTTTGTCTTAATATTTCAGCTTCTTTTTACTTTAGAGAAAAATGTTTTTGTTATCCACACTTACTGATTTTGTTTTTGCAAGCAAAAATAACAGATGACTAAATTTAATCTGTGGATTCAAAGTTAAATAATCAGACAAATAAAACTAGTCTAAATTATGGTTTAAAGTGCTACTCATCTAATTAGGAGCACAATACAAAAAAAAGTAGTTTATCAAGCTCAGCTGTTTATGTTTAGTGTTAATCTTGTTTCATTCTGTTGGTATCATTTACTCCATCTAAAGTTATCCAACATGGAAGCTGATTGTTTTGTTTCATCAGATTCATGTTTTGAGGTATAAAACCAATTTCTATCATGATCTGGTGTTATTGTCGAACCCAATGTGCAGACAGAATGCCAGGAACTCGAAGGATAAGGTAATAATTAAAATATTTATTAATAATCTAAAGGCTTGGGAGTGGTGACGCAGAGGTTAGAGAAGGTGGGCCTGTGATTGGAAGATCGCCAGTTCAACTCCTGGTACCGACATCATCAAAAATGTGGATGGGATAGGTGAAACACCCACAACTGCCTCCACCCTCCTTTACCCCACTCTGGACCCTTGAGCTAGGTCCTTAACCACCACTGTCTACTCCCTCGGATGCCCTAAATAGCAGCTCTCTGCTCCACACAGAGGGCTGTGGTAGCTCGGTGGTCTGTGATTGCGTGAAGAAGGACATCCAACGTAAAACAATTGACAAGTCTTTGTGTGAGTTAGTTCACTCTGGCGATCCCTGAAGAAGGGAGCAGCCGAAAGAAAAAAATTAAAATAAAGGCTGATGTGGCAGCAAAACTTAAACGTATCACAAGGAGACACCGAGGGAGAACAGAACATGACACCATACAGGACAATCCACCGACGGGGGAACAACAAGTAAACACAGAATATATAGAGATGCTAACAAGGAAATAATTACAAACACCTGGGGGAGGACAATGAGGGACAGGTGCAGCAGGAGCTGGCAACACGAGGGAAACAAAATGAGGAAGACTGAACAGATGACACAAGAAAAACACACAGATCCTCTCAATTTCACTGGAAATAGTTTAGTCTTTAGTACTCGAACATTAATCGTACAGAAGGATTTTATATTATTGTCTCCATGTAAATAAAACAAGCCATTATTTGAAGAAAAGTGTTTAATACAAGTACAGCATTTTATGATCTTTTTGTCCTTGTCTCTGTCAGGGCCACGAGATGACCAGCATTGGACTCCTCCTGGGTGTTTCTTCTGCCAAACTGGGCACCATGGACATGTCAATTACACGCCTGCTCAGCATACACATCCCTGCCCTTCTCCCACCCACCTCCACTGAGTTGGACGTGCCCCACAATGTTCAGGTGAGAGGCTATGAACATATTGGGTATTGTGTGAAGATAAATTTGAATAAATACCTGTAAAACACTTGTTTTCAGAATTTCTTTTAAAAAATTCAGCAATAAGTATTGAGTTATCGCACTGTTCATCTCCCAGGTTGCTGCTGTAATTGGTATCGGGCTGGTATATCAAGGAACCGGACACAGACACAATGCTGAAGTCTTGTTGTCTGAGATAGGTGTGTAAACTTTTACCGTGTCAAGACACTTCAAAACCTCAAATTACCTCTGAACAGGTTCATTTAAAAAAAAAAACTCAAATTAATTGTCACCTTATGAACTTTACACACATTCAACAATGAGGCTGTGCTAACTTCACTAACTTAAACAGAACTTTAACTTTATTTAGAGTTACCATATTTTTAAAGATTTAATTTTTCTTCATCACAATTTTTTGGTTTGTTTTTAATTGAAAACTGACAAATTTAAGTCATTTTATTATTTAGTACATGATAATAATAAAATGTAGGTTGCTGTAAATAAAACATATGTAAAGTACTGTCTGCAATATAAACTATTCTATAGTGAATTAAATAATAATGAAAATAAAAACAGGCAAAATCTTTAAAAATACTTCTTGTTCATCATGTATTAAATAGGTTAGCCTCTAAAATGAAGGTAGACTAGCCAACACTCAGACCAATGTATCTACTGTGTTTATTTGAAAACATTTGTTTTTCACTAAAAGTAGGTTATTTTTAAGCTCAGCTGGTTAAAATTGCAAGAAAAGTCATGAATCCTATGAATTGACATTTCATGTATTAATTTGATACTTTTTCTTTGTTTTTTTAGGTCGACCTCCTGGTCCAGAGATGGAGTACTGTACTGACAGAGAGTCCTATTCACTGGCTGCTGGACTTGCTCTAGGCATGGTCTGTCTTGGGGTAAGTCGATACCAGTGGTGGGCACAGTTCCGCTAATCTGCTAATAGTGGAACTAACTTTCAGTTTAGCGGATTAGCGTTTTGGCTAACTTTGAAAACCTTTATCGGGATTAGCTTCTGCTAAATTTGAATCCAGTAAATTCAAGTCCACTGTTTAAAAAAAAAAGACAATTCTTTGCACTAAAAGCATACATGAGAATGGTGAGTTACACAGAGCTATGCTATGCAGAGCTGAACAAAGTTAAGCACCACTCTTTGACATCATCACCCTCACAGTGCTTTTCCCACTCATGTCTACTGCAAACAGTCTGACTCATGATGTCAGTTTACAGCCAGTAACAGAGACTTTAACATAAATGCCAAACCAGAACAGGAAAATAACATGAAAAACCCATTTTAACACTCAAAAACATTGTAAATGGTCAGAAACATCATACACATAATTCCTACCCAGCATGCATAGCAACATTCACACTGTCTCTGGGACATGACACACATTTCAGAGTCAGAGTTTCTTTATTGTCATTCGCACCTCATGTGGTACATGTGGTGGAGCGAAATTATGTACACGGGGTCCCAGTTACATCCAACAATAAAATGTACAAGAAAAACAGTAATAACATCTAAGATATGAACTAAGAAAAACATCAACTAAATATACACTAAGTACTCATAACATAAAAACATTGAACATCAGCACAAACATGAACATGAGTCTGTGAGCAGATGTGCACGCATGTTGATGAACACATCAACATTGAAACAGATCAGCAGCAACATGAAACAGATCAGCAGCAACGTGATGTGATTTTTCACAGTGATTATCCTAGTTAGATATTCACACACCTTTACTTTAAAACAAACAGATTTATTACAGAGAGTGTATTGATGATGATGCACAGCAACTTTGTAGTTTGTTTATAAAAGTAGTTAACCTCAAAGAGGAGCATTAAAGTGGGTTAATTCATTTTAGTAAATGACATGAGGGAGACGTCCCAACACACACTGAATAGAGTTCTTCTCTGCCTCTTTGGTTCCGATGGTCCGGATTAATTTCTGAAAGCTCACCTCTGAAGGGGACATGGACGTTTTACTTGTGAATCACAAGTAAAGCTGTTCATAAATCACTTTGTGGATTTTTGAATTGTTTTGAGTTGTGTTCACTTACAGTGTTGTCACATTACAGACAGTCTTACAGTGTCAGCGACAGCAGTGCATGATAAAAGTTAGCGCGTTAGCAAAGCAATTTTTTTTAGTTTGCGACTTAGCAGTTAGCTAAGCTAACTTTTTGAGTAGCTGTGCCCACTACTGGTCAATACTTTCTCAGACAAATAGTTTAACATCATGGTTGTTGCTTGTGGATACATTGCAAGTTGAATTAATATCAACACTATTAATGGCGACACAATGGATCAGTGGTTAGCACTGTTGCCTCGCAGCAAGAAGGTCCTGGGTTCAATCCCTGGTTGGACCTGGGGTCTTTCTGTGTGGAGTTTGCATGTTCTCTCCGTGCTGTGTGGGTTTTCTCCGGGTACCCTGGTTCCCTCCCCCAGATCAAAAACAGGCATGTTAGGCTGCCTTCAGGCCCAGGCATTCATCCCATTGAGCTGTGATCTCAATGGGATTTGCCTGGTTAAATAAAGGTTAATAAATAATAACACTAAACAGAAATTCACAGATTTAGTATTTTATTTAATTAATTTTTACTGTGTTATGCATATATTAGATGTTTGTTTCTTCTTCCAGCATGGCAGCAACCTGATTGGGATGACTGACCTTAATGTGCCTGAGCAGTTGTATCAGTATATGGTCGGGGGCCATCGCAGAGCTCAAGCAGGTGCCAACCGGGAAAGACACAAGTCCCCCAGCTACCAAATCAAGGTAAACAGAAAAGTCCCTCTTTCTCTCTGTTTTTCCTCTCTCCTTCTGTAAATGCGTTTTTTAATTTGTTTATTTTATGTAACTTTAAAAATATATAATTTCCTTTTATTTTTAGTTCTTCATTTGTTGAGATTCACTTCCATGTTTACTGTGACCACTTGACTTGAATCAGACTTGTCCACAATGACATTGGTGTGAAAACTATAAAATTTGGGAACAATTCAGACATGCCACAGAATTTTTGAGATCTATTTGTAGTGGAATATGAAAACTATCTACAAAGTATCATCATGTCACACAAAAAGTTTCTCAAATTATTTAATGGTCTCCTGTTAAGACTGCTTGTAACTTTGGTCCATTAATGAACCTCATCAATTATTGTTTCAGGAGGGTGATACAATAAATGTGGATGTTACATGTCCAGGGGCCACGCTGGCCTTCGCCATGATCTACCTCAAGACCAACAACAGGTGAGAAAAGACAAGCAGCTCCTAAATGTATTCTTAAAAATAAAGTTCACACTCTTAAATATTCTAATATCAAAAAGTTTTTTTGTTGTTACTTACCTGGCGCTATACAAAGGGATATTCTGTGCAGTAGTAACTCAGTAAATCTGGGATGTTTCAGCTTTTCACCAGCCTTGAACACAGCATTACATTTGTGAATCTGTAATGGTAAGAAAGTCTCAAAGGTCATATTTATAGGCAAGCAGACCAATGCCCTTGTATGAAGCTAAATCATTCTAAAAGTAGTCACTCAAGCATACAACGAGATTTATATGTACTTAACTAGATTTGTATGTGTACTATAAGATCCACAAGCGTACCACAAGTTTTACAAATGTGTACCAGTACTACAAGATTAATAATACACACTGTATCAAATGTACACATTTCAATTTGCACAAGTAGAAATATTATTTGCATACACACACGCACATACACTTAAAATATATTTTCCAATATTTTCTTCCTCTGGTAAATCTACAGGAAAATAAACTTTTCTGGTAGTTTTTCCACCAGAAGTCAATGCTTATTTTGTGGATTGTACAGTTTAAATGACCATAAAAAATGGATAGGTTATCCTTATGCATGTAAAACAATAGGACAAATCCTATTTGTTAAAAAATAAAATAAAATCTGTACGTCTTTTTATAACTGTTTATTGTTATCGCTGTTGTGCATTGTTGTCATCATTCTTTGTTAAAATCAGGTCTCTCTTGTAAATGAGTCCTCGAGGCTCAATGGGATTTACCTGTCTAAATAAAGGTTGAATGAACTGTGTACAGGAAGCATGGTACATAATTATTCTTTACAAAATAAAAGTCAAACATTGTCAATGCTCACTTCTTTGTAAGAAAAAAAAAAAGACAATACAGCAGTTTCAAATGACTAATGCAAAGCCAAGATTCAGATGCATACAAAGCCAAGTTTCCTAAACATGGCTCATGTTTGCTGAATTCTGTGAACATCAGAGCATCATAACCTGCTCCACAGAAAAACAAGACTCCTCCACCTCCCAGCTGTATATTGGTCAAGAGGTTCCTAATTTCCTCAAGGCTCATCTGGTGTTTTTTCCTTCTTGGTGGAGAAGGTGTTGAGGGAAGGCATTAACACTCCCTTTCCTCATCCTGTTTCTATCTATTAGGTCGATTTCTGATTGGCTGAAACCTCCAGACACTTGGTTTCTGCTGGACTTCATTAAGCCAGAGTTTCTGCTGCTGAGGGTTAGTGTGACGCAAGCTGTGCGTTTCTGTGACATGATTCTTTTCCCACCTTTCCCTAATCTTGTATACTTGTGTCTCCCCTTTATGCCTCACTACCAGACTCTTGCACGTTGTATTATCATGTGGGATGAAATCCTCCCTAACACTGAGTGGGTCAAGAGTAACATACCCCAGGTGAGAAAATACACAGAGACACAGCATAACTGAGTGTTCACATACAGATTAGTTACATTTGTAAAGTTATTCTGTTCCAAATGTTGTTTTCACAAATTAGTCATAAAACCAGTTGTACTAAAAAACTTAACTTGTTTTTGCTTCTTTTTTTTTCCCCCTTTTTAGATCATGAGGGGGAATTTTGACACTTCAGAAGACATTAATATGGAAACAATGGCGTGAGTATTTAACACAGAAGATACAAGTGATGTGTAAATGTCTTAGGTCATTCTCTCATTTCTGTATATGTTGCTTCCAAGGAACTAAACTTCTGTCATTTTTAAAATGATCTTGATTAGTAGTTTCCTAGACTTTCTGAAAGTCTTCCAATGGTTTTCTTTGGCTATTAGCATATTTTCAATACTTAACTTTCAGCACCAGGTCATTAGGAAGTTTCTTTATTAAACCTCTAAACTCTGACATAAGAATCATTAAGGCATAAAAAGGTTTTTAAACTAAAGCAAACAGCCTGTGCTTTGTCAACACGTATTGGACAAACTACTAAAGAATCTCCTGATGCATACTAAAGAATCAATTTATAATTGCATCTTTCTGCACTTTCTGCCAGTCCAGGCAGATGACTGAACATCCTGAGCCCAGTTCTGCTGAAGGTTTCTTCCTGGTGTTGTAAATTAGCACTATATAAATGAACTGAATGTAACTTCTTAGCAGCAGCAACAATCATGATACAGTTAATGTTTTTAGGTGAAGATAGAAAAACACAAAAAATAAAAATACACAATTTGACAGACCTTTTATAATACCAACAAGGCTATTCGCACCTCTCGGGTTTGTTTGGTCTTTGCTTGATATTTTCTCCCCATTTCTTAAAGACGTGATTTTCAGATACTGATCGTCCTCTAAAATATATATATATTGGCCTGAAAGAGCTTATTTTACTATCCATTTGTCCACTTTCCACATTAACTAACCACATTGCAGAAATGCTGTCAGTTGGATACCATGTCTAAAGAGTAGATGAGTAAAAATGCAGCCAGAAGTAATTAAAAAAAAAGTTTGAAAGACATTTAGAAATTCCAGAGAACTGTTTGTAAAGACCGCTTAAAAATAATATAGGACACTTTGAATGCAAAATATAAATAAAACAAATGTGAATTAGAACCTTTCATCTCTCTGACTGATTGTAAAATTTTGTTTGTCACAGCCAAGCCCAGGACTACATTACAGCTGGAGCCTGTATGGCATTAGGTTTACGCTTTGCCGGCTCTGCCAATTCCGACGCCTTTGACTGCCTCTATGAGTTTGCCAGAAACTTTATGAAGATGATGTCTTTTGCTGGTACAGCTACTGTTGGTGCAGTGCGTGAATTTATTTAATTATTTTATGTTCAGTCACTGGTTTCTGAAATTTTCCACAATTTGAACTTTTAATGCTGTATTTCCTCCGTTTCTCTCACATGTGCTGGTCCCACCAGCAGATGGGTTATTACAACCTGCAAACAGGTCTGTCGATGATCCTGCTGGCTATGTCCATGGTCATGGCTGGCACTGGGAATCTGAAGGTTCTTCAGCTCTGTCGCTTCTTTCACAAGAGAACTGGCGGTGAGATGAACTATGGCTTTCACATGGCTCATCACATGGCCCTGGGGCTGCTCTTTCTGGGAGGTGGCAGGTTAGAAAACACACACAGACACACACATACAGTTGTACAGGTTGTTTGCCTGGCATCAGTTTAAATATTATAATATTGAAGTCAAAGCACAGAAAACAAAGCTGTCAATCATCAAAACTTAAATAGAAATAAAACACTTTTTCCTCCCACTTGGACAGGTTGTCAGACCAGGAAGACAAAAATTACCTAACCAGGAAAATCCTAATATTTTGTAGTACATAAATGTGTACGGATTAGAACAGCGCAAATGTTGTTTGCATAAAAACATTATTAAACCAATTAATAATTTGTACTTTATTCTTAAATCCTTTTAGGATTGTATTAATTACACATTTGAAATGTCTGCTACATAAAACAGATTGGCTGAAACCTGTAATAAATTGAGGTTTAATTTACAAATACCTTACTTAATTTTCTCAGTTCGCTAAACAGTTTAGTTCCTCCTGTTGGTTAATATCAGGTCTCTCTTGTAAATGAGTCCTCGAGGCTCAATGGGATTTACCTGTATAAATAAAGGTTGATTGAATATGACCGAGTAATAGGGCCACACTAAGAAAAAAAAAACATTACAAGAATAAAGTCATAGTAATACAAGAATAAAGTCATATGGCAGTAAAGTCATAATATTATGAGAATAAAGTCGTAATATAACAAAAATAAAGTCAATATTACAAGCATAAAGTCATAATATTACAAGAATAAAGTCATAATATTATGAGAATAAACTCACAATATGTCTTGGGTTGGCTTGCACCTGCTGCACAGTCTCCAATGTGACTCTATGTTTATAAAGTAGTCAGCGATCACTTTTGGGTCACTCTTTGTGAAATATGCCTCCATCCACATTATATCACAACTAAATCCGTCAATGCAGCCATTAATTGCAATGCCATACATCTTCAGTTTATCATAAGAATCCACAGTGAAGCAACATTGTGTTGGGCCCCCTGATATTGTACTGCCAACGTCAACATTCATCATTTTACCGTAGATGTAAGACCGATTTTTCATGTCGAAGTTCTGATAATATCACAACTTTATTCTGGTAATATTACAAGCTTATTCTCGTAATATTATGACTTTATTCTCGTATTGTTTCTACTTTATTCTCATAATATTTCTACTTTATTCTCATAAATCACAACTTTATTCTTGTAATATTTCGACATTATTCTTGTACAACTTTATTCTTATAATATTACAACTTTATTCTCAAAATACTACTATATTCTCGTACAACTTTATTCTCGTAGTGTTACGACTTTGTCATACGACTTTGTCATACTACTTTATTTTCGTAGTATTTCTACTTTATTCTCGTAATATTACAACTTTATTCTCGTCATACTATGACTTCTTGTAATACTACGACTTTATTCTCATAATATTTCAACATTATTCTAGTAATATTTCAACTTTATTTTCATAATATTTCAACATTATTTTTGTACGACTTTATTCTCATATTACGACTTTATTCTCGTACAACTTTATTCTCGTAATACTACTACTTCTCGTAGTATTACAACTTTATTCTCGTAATACTACGACTTTATTCTCGTAATATTATGACTTTATTGTCATACAACTTTATTCTCGTAATATTTCTTCTTTATTCTCGTAGTATTACAACTTTATTCTCGTAATACTACGACTTTATTCTCATAATATTATGACTTTATTGTCGTACGACTTTATTTTCGTAATATTACTTCTTTATTCTCATAATATTATGACTTTATTCTCGTAATATTTCGACATTATTCTTGTATGACTTTATTCTCGTAATACTACTACTTTATTCTCGTACAACTTTATTCTCGTAGTATTTTGACTTTATTCTCGTAATGTTATTACTTTATTGTCGTACGAATTTATTCTCATAATATTTCTATTTTATTCACGTAATGCTACTACTTTAGTCTCGTAATATTATGACTTTATTCTCGTAATATTATGACTTTTTTGTCGTACGACTTTATTCTCGTACAACTTTATTCTCGTAGTATTACGACTTTATTCTTATTATACTATAACTTTATTTTTGTAATATTACAACTTTATTCTTGTAATGCTACGATGTTATTCTCGTAATATTACGATTTTATTCTCATAATACTATTTATTCTTTTAATATTAGGACTTTTATTCTTGTAATACTACGACTATATTCTCGTACTATTATGACTTTATTTTCGTACAACTTTATTCTCGTAAATTACGACTTTGTTCTCGTAATACTACGACTTTATTCTCGTAATATTATGACTTTATTGTCATAATTTCATGACTTTTTTCCTCGTAATGCTTTTTTTTTTTTTTTTTTTAAGCGTAAATTTTTTATTTTTCTTAGCGTGGCCCAATACTCTGTCGTAGGTTATGGCTGCTTTGATTTTATATACCAGCGTTGTTGTTGTTCTTGTTGTTATTGTGGTTGTGGTTGTGGTTGTGGTTGTTTGTTTGTTTTCAGGTTTATTACACTATTTCTTTTGTCTTTATGCGTACATGCAACCCCAGACTCTTCTTTTTTTCTTTTCTGCAACGCATGAAGTATTTCTGTTTTTCCTGCATAGTTAAGGGATGAAGCCTTAAATAGAAATAAGTGAATGTTTTCAGTTCTCTAGAGCATCTGGGTACTGTAAATAATAAAAAATAAAAAAAAATTTTTTTATCCCCTTTTGTTTTTTTGTTGCATTTGTTTCAATTTTCAACTTTCCCACATTTGGTATTCTGATGAGGTTTTATCTGCCAGCATAAAATGGTGAAGCTGTCTCAAAATAAAATACCCTGATGCCCAGGCAACGACAACAATACTCGGAAACCCTGAAGGTTGTAACTAGTTTCAGTCCTTCATTTTTTGGATGTACTGACAGGATGATTATTATTTTAAAACTTCTGCAGTCATATTTAAGGTATCATTGAGCTGAACACCGTGGACTCAGCTGTTCCAGGGAATTTATCTAATCTAATCCAACTTTATTGGAGATTACTGTGTTTTTGAATGATCAGTTTCAGCTCATACTCTCGCAAGGGTAGTGACTGCAGAACAAACACACATAAGCCTGCTATGATTGTTGCGTTGGCATGTTGAAGGACATTTGTACACAGACACACCCACACACCCAAACCAGGTGACCTCAGCCTATTTTCAAAAGTAAACAGCAGCTTCCACTCCCTCATTAGATATTGACCTTTTGATTATTTTCAGCTCCCTTTTTATTTTCGACTCTACATACAAAGGCCCACACAGATGAAGCGACTGCAGGTCTGAATGTCATACACAGTGTTTTATTGTGAGTTGTTTATTGTTCATTTACAGAGGTTATCAGTCATTTTGCAAAGCAAATTCCTGTCATGTCAACTCATTTTTTACTCCCACTCTGCTTGTCCAACATTCAGTTTCTCACTTGTTTGCATTAAAATTTCCTATTCAGATTGGCTTTTTACACATTTCACTGTTTACACTGCACAGCTGTCATTCTTCTTTTCCTCATTCATGTTTTGATGTCCTTATGTTCCATCTCCCACACCTCCTCCCTCTTATTTCTGTTTGCTCAGTTGATTTCTTTTGCTTTTTATTCAGTATTTTGGAAGGAAGCTAAAGAGAAGGCTGATAATTTTTTGTCCAAATCCACACGTGTTCTCCAGTCTAGCAGCTGCCACTGCAAGTGTTTGGTTCATAATAACATTTCCCCTTCAGCTGCGGTAAACACAACCTAGTTTGGTAAGATTTCTCTGAAATAGTTTTTAATGTAGGATGTGCTCAGTTTTACAGTTGATTAAAAAAAAGAGGAAAATGTTTTTAAGTTTTGCTGCACAGAATGAAAGTTATTTTTTTTCTGCAGAAATTTAAATAATCAAACAGCAAAGTATACAAATAAATAAAGTGTTTGAGCAAACAGCGGTGTTAAGAAAGTACAAAAAATAGAAAATCACCATCATGGTCAAATGTTTTGAAATGTTTTCTCTTTAGTATTCATTTTAAACAACTAAAAACGCTGTTTTTAATTTTTATGTTATTGCGTTACAAACACAAAGATAGTAGGAACTGAATCTTCAAACTGAATTGGTCAGTCACACAGTGAAGCTAGTTATAATATTAATGTTGGTGAAATAGTGAAGTGCTCTTCAATACACTAGAACACAACACGAGTTGTCATTAAATGAAGAAAAAAACACTCTTTACCTAATCTGACTTATTAGGCGTTCTGATATTTAACCAAAGCCTGAGTAGCTTTGATTCTGATAATGATTTCATTAGTCAGACTTGTACTCAGCTGTTTAAAAACATTTGCTTTATCATTCATTGTTTCAGTTTTATTGTGAGATCTTGTTTATTCAATAAACTGCAGGTGGTTACTTTTTGGATTATGTTTAAACGCTGCAGTAGTCCATGACTATTAATTTTTTTTTTATCTCTTCTGTTCCCATTTTTTACTACATGGGTAATAAATATCTTTTTTTTTTTAATTCTTGAAACCCCTGAGATAAAAAAAAAGTGTATCTGCTTATGAGCACACATTTTTAGTATTTAATATTTGTGTTTATCAGGTACACTCTCAGCACTTCCAATTCTGCCATTGCTGCTTTGCTCTGTGCCCTGTATCCTCACTTCCCTGCTCACAGCACTGACAATCGGTAAGATAAACACCAGCACAAACTCTGCCATACAAGGTCTGATTTAATAATTACACAAAAGACAGATATGTTCAAGAAATTAAAGGAAACTTGGCATGTTAATGTATTAAGTTGTGCATATGATATTCATTGTTGTAAATACACCTTCCCTTAAAACAAGGTTAGGTCATAGTCCACCTCATCTTTGGTTGAAAAGTTTGATTTGACTGTCAGCAGTGATATTTATTACTTTATTTTAATTGTTTAATTGCTTAAAAATTCTAAATATGTCATGGGTTCGGAAAATCAACAACATGGTTCTATATTGTAACAGTGTTCTGGATATTTCTGTATACTTCCTGTGTTGTTTTAATGAGAACTGGGATGATAATGTTGTTTCAGCTATCACTTGCAGGCCCTGCGGCACCTGGCTGTGCTGGCTGCAGAGCCACGGCTTCTGGTTCCTGTGGATGTGGACTCTCTTAAGCCTTGCTATGCCCTCTTAGAGGTCACCTATAAGGTTTGTTCACATGACAGATGTAGAAAAACATAAATAAAATTTAAATTTACCATTTTTGTAAGAAATGCATATTTCTCACCTATTTGCATATCAGCGTCTTTCATAAAGATTATTTACAATCTGTTAATGCTCAAATTATGTGGTGCAGATGGCTCTTCTTTACCCCCACACTGATGACAGTTACCATGTATCCATTTTTGGTTTACTACAGTCCATTACCTGGTGGCCATCTTGAGTTGGGTTGACTCCAATAGTTAATCAGTTGTAGAAGTACATATAATTACATTTCTGAAAGTTTCATAAATATCCATCCAGAGTGAGGATATTTTGCTAACAGAAAGACATGAGCATGCACAGACAATTTACCTTATTTAGGATTTTACAATTCTCCTCTACTGCAAAATTCTAACTAATGTAAATAATAATATTTAATGCTTCTGGATTTATGATTTTTTTTTTGTACACACACATTGATTTCTACATACTATTTTGAACTGAGTAATGATTACAGAAGAGAACAGGAAGTACAAACTAAATGAAACTCAAGGGATTTTTTTTTTTAGGTTTCTATTAAGAAGGACAACTTTTGTCTCATTTCTTCAAAATAATGACGACCTCACTTGTCTTAATTTAAAAAATGAGGAACTGAAATTCTACTAAATCAAATACTGTATTATCACTTTTAAGGGAATTGTTTAAAAATGATTTCCAGGGTTCTCACACTGCAAGTATTTTAAAAAAATGATATTACGTTGATTAGTTCATTGTCTCTTTGTGATCATTACAGAGACTTGGACACATGATCTAAAAAGTAAACTTCTAACAGAATGTGGGGGAAAACAACCATTTTTTTCATAGTCTGTAAAATGCGTATACATTTGTTTTTGTTTTTTCTTTATGCATTTGGTTATCTACCAAACTCTTTTGTTTAAAGTAATATATATTTGAGGAATGTTTAAGTTTTGAGAGATCATTTAATCTGTAATAAATGCTAAATATTTTAAATACCCGTACAGATAGACAAAGTACAGAAGTGCAAAATTTGTAGGCTTTACTTGTTTTTATAAATTCTAATTACGTATTATATTGATAAACAGTGTATCAATAATAAACATTTTTTAGCCCAATAGGGTTTCATTATTCTATCACTTCATTGCATGTGCATCCATTTGTTTGGCGTAATGCATTTCTTTCAGCTGTAAACACTTAAATAAATAAATTAAGGTGCTTGTTATTTCAGTGCTTCCACAGTTGGATAGTTGATGGTTGAAGACAGAAGTTGCTGTTGGTGTTAGCACCACCATTGATGGCGCACTTCACTTTAAATTATTTCTCTGCAGACAACTGAGCTCGAGCCTGTAAACATCAGCAGCCATTACCTCACTCTTGTGTGTGAGAGAAATGCACAAACTAGTTATAAATGATTTAAAGTCTTCACCCAAACAAACCTTTAGATTTGTGATGGCCGACATATTAATAACTATTGAATGTTTCTCTAAAAAATAACGTTTGTTTGTTTTTTAAATTAATGTTAATGTGTTTAATTGATGTGATTACAGAATTTTAAGCCAAATACGCATTTAAACATTACGTTATCTTTTTTTTTTTTTTTCCCCAATGCTTGACATGTAAATACAGCATTCAGACTATTGCTCAGATCAACCCTTCATTGATTATCAGTACTCTTTTAATTGTGGGGTCCTTACAGATCTTGTAGTTTTTTTCAGTTAAACTGTGCATTTGTTGATAAATTGTATATGCTCCAGTGATAAAGGTTCTTTGTATTTCAGGAGACTAGGTGGTATAAAGAGACAACAGTTGAACTGATGGCTCCCACTCTCCTTCCTGAGCTCCATCTTCTTAAACAGGTAGAGCCGAAGAACAGTTAGCAGTTTCCATAAGAGCCTAATCTATTCATTGTGGTACACGAGGCTAACCGAGAGTAAAAGAAAAGTAAATCTTGAAACATTCTAAACATGCTCAGTTTCTACATTTTTATTTATTTATTATTAATTGTAGGTGAAAGTGAAGGGGCCACGTTACTGGGAGCTGTCTTTGGATCTCAGCAAAGAAACGCAGCATCTGAAGTAAGTAGTCAGGAAGTGTACAATGAAATAGATTTAAATGTTATGCAAGTGTTACAATTGAGAAGTACATGCATTTAATCTGTTAAATTGCATTGCTGCTGTTTGCCATTTTTCCTTTTACAATGAAGTGAGGCAATGAAACAGATGAAGCTCTAAAATGTTGATCATTATACCTATTGAAGGTCCATCCTGTCCAGAGATGGTGTGTTGTATGTAAAGTTACGGGCTGGTCAGCTGCCCTACAAAGACGACCCTCAGGGTTGGAAGAGTCTGCTGACCGCATTCATCAACCACAGAAACTCTGGAGTCACCGCTTTCAAGGTAAAGATGGTTAAGATTTTACATCTGCCAAAAAAAAAAAAAAAAAAATTCTAATAATATTAATTTTTTTTGTTTTTGTTTTTTCAAATTAAGTGATTTTTTTTGATAGTTGCAGATTACATTTATTAAAAAATTGTCCACTAAATTGTTACCAAAATTGTATAAATCACTCTTGACAGCATCAGATGCTCACCTATGTTAATATTTTTTTCTTCTCAGAACATTTCGTGTTGCAAACTTTATTGTAGTTATTGTAAAAATATGCCCACTTTGTTAATCCAACCAAAATGTTCAGTATATTCATGCAAGCTAAAAAGTTTTATTTCACTTTGGTTTTAAAACTTCTATGGCCAGATTTGAAAACAGACCATCACACGAGTGAAGGTGTGTAGAACTGAACCGGCCCCCACCCTAGTAAATGGTTTTGCCCACCCTGGCAGGTTGTTGCTGCATGTTCTGCAGGCAGCTCTATGGTTGACACACTATTACTGCTTTCCTGGTGACCTCAGTATATTGTCAGTACACCTGCAGGACCTGGAGGGGTGAAAATAGTTGAATCTGCTTATTCTCAGTGCCTTTCCTGAATCTGTTTATTTTTCCTCTACCTTTTGTTCTGTCTTTAGACACTTAATCCTTTCTATAAACGATTTATTTCTCGCACCGTTTAGACAATTTTGTTTTTATACATTTATATGTGTTGATTAATCAGGGTTTTTTTTTCTGCAGCCTGAAGCCATCTCTAATTTCACCTCTGAACCTGCACTCATCTCCTTTGCCGAGTTCTTTTGTAAGACCCCTGAAGCAATGAAAGACGTGAGTTTTGAACTGCATTCAGTTTCCAATTTGTTGCCCAGATGACCCCACACCTAGCATACGTCCTTCACTACCTCCTCCTTTTCTTCCAGGATGTAAAGCGTTTTACTTATTTCTACTTTAGAATTTAACAAAAATGATGTCTATATTCAGGAAAATTAGGGATTTCATGGAATGTTAGTCAGAGATACTCAGGAAAAAGTAGTGGGGCGTAAAAATGTCTTTGGCTTACATGTATAGAGTGTGTGTGTTTGAGGCTGGCGAGGCCGCATGCACCCACAGAAGTATAAAAGTTTAAATATTCAGACAGGTTGGAGTGGAGGACAGCTACCCATCACAGATTGTGTCAATCTAATGTTTTGAAATGTGTTAATTAGGAAAAAGCAAAACGGTGTCCAGCGGAGTGCTGTTTTTAATAAATTTTAAAAAAGGAAATATGTTCATACAGGCAATAACAATTTTTTTAAACTGTGTTCTCCTGTGTTGTGTTTTGACAGAGAAAGGACACGTTTGTGTTGTTCTCAGCAATGCTGTATGAATGTGTGATGCAAGAGTGTTCAGAGATGCTGCCAACATATATCGCTATTGAGCAGGTAACACCCCAACACACACACACACACTGAGCTGGTCAGGTACAGCTAATTATTGTTTTACCAATAAACACGTCTTTTTTTCTTCTTTTTTCTTTTTTTCCCCTTTTTTTCAAGAAAAAAAAAAAGAAAAAGGGGGAGAATAAAAAACATCATTTTATTGTAATACTGTTTTTGTAGACCAGTCACATTGACAAGGATCAATAATGAAAATGTTCCAGTAAATAAATTGGATTAAACAAAATGCCTGGTCCAAAAAAATAAGGTCTCATAATAAAAGGTAGTTCTAGCATCACACAATTTGTAGAGAACAAGATTTATTTATTTGGTATTTATATAGGAACACATTATGTAAGTTACATACTATGGGTGTTTTTGTTTTGGTCATTTCTGCTGGTTCACTACTTTATTTAAAAAGCTATCTTAATGCATTGCAGAATTTATCTTTACCAAGTTGTTTCTTTACAGTAATGTAAACTACATCTATTGCAAATATGTAAAAACAATACAGGATCATCTTCCAATGTTATCTGCTGTAAGAGCTTTGAACTGTCTGTCTGGATGTTTGGGTAGCAGAGGCAACAGGTTCAGGAGGAAAACCCAGGCATCTCGCTCTCCAGCTCCTCCTTGAGAATTAAACACATTCTAAAGCCAGAGAAGGATATATAATCCCTCCAGCTATTTCTGCTTTCCTCTGGATCTCCTCCTGGTGGGACATGCCTGAAAAATGTCCAGAAGGAGACACCCAGGAGGCATTCGAATCAGATGCCCACACTACCTCAGCTGACTCTTTTTGCAAACGAGCTGCTGCTCTATTCTGAGCGCTCTGCAAACAAGTTTCTCGCCTCTTCTCTCAGGCTGAGTGAAGCTCATTTCAACTGTTTGTATTTGATATCTTGTTCTTTTGGTCATGATCCATGCCTCATGACAAGGGTTGCACAATATGTCAAACATCTATTGCCACAATAATAACAAAGTGTGCAATATCAAGATCACAAAGTATCACAATAAATTGCAAAGTTTAAAATTGCAGTAATTTGCCTATTTAATTTGCTCCAACTGCCCATATGCTGATGATATATTTGGCAACAGATCTCCACTAATCTAAAAGCCCACTGCTGATTTAGAAAAAAAAAAAACATAATTGAGATGCTAAAGCAACACCAAAGTTTTGTGATAACAGTAGAAACATAGGACTGAGGAAAATTTTGATTTCATTGCGACTGATGTCATGGCAATATAAATGCCCACTGCAACATAAACAGACCAGTGAAAGGGGAACTTTGCATTTTGGCCCAGTTCCTTCTTTTTCACAACAGATCAGAGCATTCCCTTCATTACTGTGGAGGAAACCCCAGTCTGTCTAATCTCCCACTCCATCCTGCTTTATGATCAAGACTCATATGCCTAAACTCCTCCACTTGAGGAAATTCTAATACATCTGACGGTCTAAGTAGCAGGCAAAGAACATGCATTTTGACCCGTGGTTTCATCTTCTTTTATTCTTTTCAGGCAGTTAGTGCCTTGCAACGGGGTGACCTGCAGCAGACATTCCCTTTGTGGCAGCTACGTCTGGTGGTGGAACTGTGGGACAGCAGGATGCTGCGAGGTCCTGCAAACAGCCATGACACACTGCTCACCTCGGAGTTTCTTCCTGTAATGAAGAACGCTGTGGATGTAGCATTGGACAGTTGGCTCAAAGGTGAGGGGGGTGAAGGGAAAGAGAGTTAATGTGGTGGTTGTTTGATCTTATTGTTAATCCTTTGAATGTCTAGAGTTATCTTGTCCATTCTTCTTGCTATAAAATACGTTCCGTCTAATCTTTCTGAGACTTTCCAGCCATGATATCTTTTAACCTATAACCAATATCATGTTTTAACAAGGTCAAAAGTTGTTTTTAAAGTAACAGTTTCAGTAGATGCTTATTTTGTCATTTGTCAAAACTATTTTGCATCTTTACCCGTTTACTGCGAAGGTGATGATCGAGCAGCACGAACTCTAAATTGGTACGTACTGTACAAACTTTTACAACAGGATGTCTGAGAAGCGTTTACAGCTGGTATTATCCCCACTGAAAGGCTGTCTGGTGACTTACATGGGGACAGAATCAACAGGATGTCATGTGCCAGTGTCAGCTGAGAAAAAGCAAATGTTGTGCAGATTGTTCCAAAGAAACAACAACTCGTGTTTTCGTGACAAGCCTAGTATGGAAACTGAATGGGTATTTCAGTCCAACGTATTGGTCTAAAATCATTTTACCTTGAAATTTTTACTTTGACAACATTACCTGCAACTTTCAGGAGTGGCAGTGTCACAGGCTGGATGTGTTTCAGCTTGTTTTAATGTGCAGGGTGTAGCACATTGATGTCATAGTTTAGAGGTTAGACACAAACACACATTCCACAGCTGAACGAGCACGCATGAACACACTCTTTCAAAAAAAAAAAAAAAAGGCACACTCCAGCGACCGTGGGAAACAGGTGAGGTAGTTGGACAAGATTTTGATCATAGAATCATGTTGAGCTTGCTTTCATTTTGTTGTTACTTGATGCTTCTTGGTTCTGGGAGATGGCTGGAAGGGAAACGCTCAACTAACTCGACCTCAAGCATCAGGAATGTTCACTGGAACTCATGAATAAAACGTGTGATGATATGTTAATTTTAGTTCTCCTCTTTGGTGCTTTTCTCAGAAGTCAGTGCTTTAGGGGTTTTTTTATATTAAAGACACACATATGTCCCTGAAAGTGACACACATTCTCCGAAGATAATTACATTCTTAGAATTGTACCCATATGGTCTGGATTATGAACAAATATCAGGTGGCTTGCAGTGACGAGAGGTTTTTTTTTTTTTGTTATTGAATTTAAAGGAGTCATCCACATTATATAAATGCTATTATGTGTAAAACACATGCCAAATAGGACAGCCCCTACTAAAAACGACCTTGCTGTTAAATTCTTGTTTTAGCTTGATGAAAGCCATCTGTTTATGAGAATATCTGTCTGACATTCCACTCCCTACACTTCTTAAATGGTTTCGTTTAGGCTAACAATCCAAGATGAGCCTTCAAATTAGGTGCAGAAACTAAATCAACTGAAAATGCAGCTTTTAGTTGTTAGAAAGTAAATGACTTGAGATTATACCAATTAAAGAATAGTGCAAATTTAAAAAACAAAAGCTAAGCTTCATGGTGGTGGCGATGGTTGCAAAGCTGAATTCCAGTGTTAAGAAATGTTGAGCTAAACAAATTCCTTCTGAGAATCTACACACCTTAATAGAATAATGATCAGGTATTTAGCATGCAAATGTCATCCTGCTCCTCAGTCAGCTGTCACGAAATTTCCAAACTGAAACTCTTAACCTACTTCAAACTCAGTGTCATAAACATTGCAACCGTACCTTCAAAAAACCTACCTGCTGCAAAATAATCTACCACCCTCATTAAATTACTAACAGATTACACCCAGTAAAACCATCCTTGGACAAAGAAACATATAATTTTTACTTTATAGGTCCTGCAGTTTAATGCATTGATTTTGAAATTTTCTATCAGCTCTAGTTTTGTATATATTATTTCAGCTAGTAACAAGGAATCAAACATCTAAAGCTAATTAGTTCAAGACCAAACAAAGTGCTGGTCAAAGAGACACGGCGGTCATTGAGATGTTTAATAACCTGTAAATAGCATGCAATGGTAAACAAAAGGCACCCTTCATCTTTGTGTGTGTTTTATTGTCTAGAAAACAGCTTGGTGGTGAGATCCTACATGAAAAACGAGGTTCCACCTAAAGACAGCCGCCTGATGATGCTGGCCTGCTTCCTGGTGTACCGCTCCATCCCCTGCCTCAAACACAAACACACACAGCTGGAGGGTGAGATAAACAGATGCCACATTGATTGTTGTTAGTGCTTGTAGGTCTATCTACTGTATGTTTATATTTGACATAATGTTGGGGCAGTTTTGTAGTATCATCCTGTAGCTGCTGAAATATTTTTTATGAAGAATGCATCTAATGCAGCTACTATAGGCTGATTGTTTAAAACTCTAAAACAAAACGTGTACATTTGTATTTCATTTTTAATTGGTTAGCATGCTAAAAGTGCTAAAAGTTCTGTTATAGTGGAACAACTAACAGTGACTGTTCTGTCTTGTTTCCCTGCAGGCTGCAGCTCATTTGGGGATGTATTGTTGCTTAGCAACCAGCTGGGCATCCCTCTGAGAGACCTACTGAGACTGGTACCAGTTTTGTTGAGTTCTGTGTCAGAGTCTCCATCACTGCTGGGCTTTCCTCTTCAAGCATTTTCATCCTGACGTCCAGAACCAGTGGTTGGGCAGATAGACTCGGAGGTGCAGTGCTGCTATCACCAGTAGGACACATTTTAACTGAATTATCTGCAGACATGCCGAGCACCTCTGACAAAATGTGACTATCAGACACAAATCCAGCTGCCTGTTGTCTGGAGAAAAAAGTTTGTTAGATTTCTTTGTAAATTACTTTTATATTTAGCTTTTTTTTTTTTTAACAGAATAAAACAGTTTTATTTGCTGTAATCATGCAGTATATGTGCCGTTTTTTTCTACTACAGTCACTGTGGGACTTTTGGATGAGTTGCACAAATACTCACCAGGAGCAACTTTTCTTCACACATCTGAACTATCCAGAACAAAATAAGTTGTTGCAGTAAGAACACAAAGACTAAGGCACAATAAAAGAGAAAAGGTGTCTACAAACTTGACAAATACTGTGGTTCATTTGGATATGTCTTTTTTTATTGTGCTGTTGTCAGTTTTCTGTCCTGTTGACTTGGCACAGATGTCTTTGTAGTGTTGGCAGCGTTACATCCCTGTGGTCAAGATAAAAGTTGCTTTGAAGCTATTTGGAGATCAAAACAGGTTGTTTCGAGTTGTTCGCCACATGAAGAGTCCTCTCAACTTCCAAAGCTGTAAAGTCTGTTCTCACCACTTTCAGTTATTCTGGGGAAAAGGTGGCTTTCAACTTGATGCTTTGTCTTTTTTTTTGTCAAACAATGGTGGTTTTTAGGTCTGAAGTCTAAAAAAGTAAGAGAACTGACTGAGAATCTCTTTAATTAGCTTTGGTACTTTTTAAAAATGTTTTTGCTATGTGGAAAACAAAAAATAAAAATTTTACTTTATATGTGACTTCCCGTATTTCACAGCACTTCATGTGCTTTTATTAACTTTTTTTCTCATTTAGTGATGTGGTGCATTTTGATGATAAAGCACGTATTTGTGGGAAGTGTCAGTGTATTGTCTGGAATGCATTCATGCACTTTGTGACAATGAATGTTTTACAGTCACATGGCCACAAGGGAATATTGTGCTCAGCTAACAAGTTTGAAACCCAGGACAGATAGGGAACTTTGCATATTTTAAATGCCTGAAGTGTTTGGCAGTGAGAACCACAGTCGCTGAAATCTTGACTGTTTTTGTAGGTTGATGTCTGTAGGCACAAATTCTAACATCATCATAACCTCCAGTTCCCTTTTGTTTCTCATGGTCTGAGAGTCCTTCAGGTGCCTGTTGACAAACTCCAGACAGGCTTCCATGTTCCTTTTTTTAAGGAGTGGCTTCCATCTGGCCACTCTACCATACAGGGTGGATTGCTGCAAAAATGGTTGTCCTTCTGGAAGATTCTGTCTCCACACGGGAATGCTGGAGCTTTGGCAGAGTGACCATCACGTTCTTGGTCAACCTCCCTGACTAAGACCCTTCTCCCCTGATTGTTCATTAGACGGTTGGCCAGGAAGAGTCCTGATGGTTCCACACTTCTTCCATTTACAAATGATGGAGGTCACTGAGCTCATTGGGACCTTCAAAGCAGCAGAAATGGTTCTCCTCCAGATTTGTGCCTCAAGACAATTCTGTCTTGGAGGTCTACACAATTCTTTTGACTCCATGCTTGACGTTTGTGCTCCAATATGCACTGTCAGCTGTGGGACCTTCTATAGACAGGCGTGTGCACTTCATGGCCAAGGCTGTGAATATGTGCGGAAATGTGCTTTCTTAGTTTTCTATTATTAATAAATTTGCAAATGTGATGGTAGCTTTGATGTTACTATAGGGGTTGTGATAAAAAATCTTAACGAAAGTATATATTTTTTTAATTGTATAAATGTAACTGAGAATTTAAAGTTAAGAGCCATGCGAAACAATAAAGAGCTCTGAATGTAAAGGTATATCCACTACAAACCTGAATAATTCATGAATATAGACATTAAACATACACAGCCTCAAAATGTCATATTTCTATTGTTTATTGTTACCCATCATGGAGTGAAAAGAGGAAATACTGTTTATATATTTGTGCATGTTGTGTGCGCAATAAAATGGAAAACTCATGCGCAAACTCGAGAGGATTTGGCAATAATTTTATGCTATCACAGACCCACCGCAGCTCTCTTGTGTGGAGAAGAGGCCATGTAGGGTGCCCAGGGGAACAGATGGGGTGTAAAGGACCCATAGTGGTGCAAGTGAGGGTGGAGGCAAGTGTAGGTGCTTCACCCATTCAAAATATTGCATTCAGCAGGGTGACCACCTGATCACAGGTTCACTCTAACATCTAGAACACCCTGTATATAGTATATATGTGTATGTGTGTTTGTACAAACCAGATTCCAACAAAGTTGGGACACTAAACAAATTGTGAATAAAAACTGAATGCAATGATGTGGAGGTGCCAACATCTAATATTTTATTCAGAATAGAACACAAATCACAGATCAAAAGTTTAAACTGAGAGAATGAATCATTTTAAGGGAAAAATATGTTGTTTCCAAATTTCATGGCGTCAACAAATCCCAAAAAAGTTGGGACAAGTCCATTTTTACCACTGTGTGGCATCCCCCCTTCTTCTTACAACACTCAACAGACGTCTGGGGACAGAGGAGACCAGTTTCTCAAGTTTAGAAATAGGAATGCTCTCCCATTCATGTCTAATACAGGCCTCTAACTGTTCAATCGTCTTGGGCCTTCTTTGTCGCACCTTCCTCTTTATGATGTGCCAAATGTTCTCTATAGGTGAAAGATCTGGACTGCAGGCTGGCCATTTCAGTACCCGGCTCCTTCTCCTACGTAGCCATGATGTTGTGATTGCTGCAGAATGTGGTCTGGCATTATCGTGTTGAAAAATGCAGGGTCTTCCCTGAAAGAGATGATGTCTAGATGGGAGCATATGTTGTTCTAGAACCTGAACATAGTTCTCTGCATTAATGGTGCCTTTCCAGACGTGCAAGCTGCCCATGCCACAAGCGCTCATGCAACCCCATACTATCAGTGATGCAGGCTTCTGAACGGAACGTTGACAACAACTTGGGCTATCCTTGTCCTCTCTGGTCCGGATGACCTGGCGTCCCAGTGTTCCATAAAGAACTTCAAATCGTGACTCATCTGACCACAGAACAGTCTTCCATTTTGCCACACTCCATTTTAAATGACCCCTGGCCCAGTGCAAACGTCTGAGCTTGTGGAGCTTGCTTAGAAATGGCTTCCTCTTTGCACTGTAGAGTTTCAGCTGGCAACGGCGGATGGCACAGTGGATTGTGTTCAATGACAATGCTTTCTGGAAGTATTCCTGAGCCCATTCTGTTATTTCCTTGACAGTGGCATTCCTGTTTAAGGTGCAGTGATGTTTAAGGGCCCGGAGATCACGAGCATCCATTAGAGTTTTACGGCCTTGACCCTTACGCACGGCGATTGTTCCAGATTCTCTGAATCTTTTGATGATGTTATGCACGGTTGATGATGATAACTGAAAAGTCTTTGCTATTTTACACTGGGTAACACCATTCTGGTATTGCTGCACTATCTTTCTGTGCAACTATGGTGGAATTGGTGATCCTCTTATCATCTTGGTTTCTGAGAGACACTGACACTCTGAGAAGCTCTTTTTATACCCAATCATATTTTCAATTGACCTAATTAGCGTTAATTGGTCTTCCAGCTGTTCGTTATATGCTCAGTTTCCTTTTTCCAGCCACTTATTGCTACTTGTCCCAACTTTTTTGGGATTTGTTGACAGTGAAATTTTGAATCAACATATTTTTCCTTTAAAATGTTACATTTACTCAGATTAAACTTTGGATCTGTCATCTATGTTATATTACGAATAAAATAATGACATTTGCCATCTCCACATCATTGCATTCAGTTTTTATTCACAATTTGTTTAGTGTCCCAACTTTTTTGGAATCCAGTTTGTATATCCTGATGCATGCTCAATAATCCAGGTAGAAAAATCTAAAAAAGTTAAATCTGGTCCTCTGGACATTCATTTCATTTTGTTTTGGTTTTTTTTGAATGTCCAGAGGACCAGTTTGTATATGTTTGTGTATAGGTGTTTGTATATATGTTTGTGTGTGTTTATGCATGTTTATGTATGTGTGTAAGTATATTTATTTGTATCTGTGTATGAATTTGTGTACGTTTATCTGTATGTACGTGTGTATACATATGTGTGTGTGTGTGTGTTTGTATGTGTATGTGTGTATATATGAATGTATTTATGTATGTGACAAGACTGTCAACAAGGAAGAGGGCCGGCAATGGAGTAGGGGGCGTACCAAAGGGACCATCTTATCACAAGCAGAACTGGTTTGTTACACTTTTGAGTAAGCTGTTGGGGAAGAATCAGTTTTGTTGTGTGTTTCCTTGACTGATGAAGCCTTCTGGATCAAAGGCGAAATGTTTCAGCACAAAAAAAAGAAACTGTCCAGATGACCTGACTGAAAAATGTTGGAATGTATTTATGTGTATTGGTATATGTAAACCTGCCACTCCTATAATTTGAGGAAACAATGCTTTCTAGTTTTTATATTGATAAAAAGTAGTTTCCTCAAATGAGTGTGGTGGCCTAAGATTAATCTATGATGGCCAAGGCCACCATTGGTCACCCCCTGGCTCCACCATTGCGTCTAGTGGTAGATAAATTTGCTTCCTTTGCCCAGCACAATCTGTCAGTTTGTACCACCTTGGAAAATGCAAAAAAAAAATCAAACTACCTCTGTTCTTATACATAGTGTAACTCCTACCTGCTTGAATATCTTGTGCCAAAAACATAAAGGTTTACTTGGATTCCCTGTTCAATTCCAGTCCAGGAAAACACTGATCTCAAAAACTGCAGACCTTAACTTTTCAAATTCTTCAACGACGGTGGACATCGGCATACGGCTTGTTTTTAACTGGAAGGCACTCTATGTAAATGTTTTTAACCACTGAAAAGGTTAAATTTTAATAAGTTCCCTTAACTCTGTTGTTGCTGTGATGTACAGTAAATGTCTGGTGGTAGTTTTTTCACCAACCCCATGTGCTTCAGGCCTGCCGTACTGGCGTCAGTATGTTTCAATTCAAAATGTTTTAAATTTTCTTCTGGTTTCCAGATGTTCTTTGTATTCAGAGAATCTGCACAATTTGAAATTCCTATGATTATACTTTTGGATAATTGTAGTTCTTTAAACATATTAACCACGTAGGATTGATATAAAAGGATAGCTGTAATGTTTCTAAT